AAAAAGTTTTTCCGAAAGACGAATTCCATTTTTTAAATTATCTTCGTTTTTGCGAATTGTGTGCGACGTAAAGACCTAGGACGTACAGACCGCATCAACAGTGTTGTACTTTTAGAATCCTTAAAGTAGAATTATCAAAAATCAGGCTTTCTCGCACCCCTTTTCCCAACAAATGTGTACACTTTTTCGAATGACGTTTCCTCAAAACTGCCATTATTACAATAATGATCTCTTAATTCCAAATACGTATACAGAATGATACCAAAAAGTAAAATTTTAGAAATCCTGTTTCTGAGAATAATTCTACTTTTGTTAAACAAAACATATTTTAAAAACTGTTTTAAATCGAATTGCCATACATCCTGCTCTTTTCGAGCCTTAAGTCCGAAGTCCAGTTACCAAGAAAAGGTATAAAATTAAGAAAGTATTTGTTCTGTATAACAAGGTTTATAATTGTAGCTATATTTCTTTATCATGTGTCCCTAAATAAAAATTTCAATATTTAATATTGAACTTTGCAAATCTGGAATCCTATTCTTATATCTTTTCGCGGGGAACAATTATGTAGTTCCGATTGAAATAATTACACCCAACTTAGACTACAATAACGTAAACCACGCGTATAACGCCAAAAAGGTCATATGGCACAAATGTAAAACAAAAATCCAATTTATTTTCTTTAAGAAAAAACTATGCTTAATATTTTAGTTCTCCCTATAATTTTTGTTTAACTTTTTATTTCAATATTAAATTTTTTACCCATTCAAGTGTTAACTAAAGTTTCTTCTTTAAAACAAAAAACAAACTCCTAGTAGTTCTTTCGTTCCAAGTTTTTTTTTATTTCCAACGAATTCACATAGTCGTTGCTAACGAATGTTCTACCCATATCGCAAATCATACTTATCGATATACAACAACAACAACAGCAAAAGCAATAACATTTGAATATTTTAAAAGTTTTTCCATTCGAAAACCCTCAGCATCCAACTTTCCACTATGAGGTGGTTTGTTTTTCGATTACAAGACAAACCAAAAGAAGACCTTTATCAAATTTTGTTACAAAATAAACACTTCACCTGATATTCAAATACTCCGGATGTTTGTTTAATCCCTTCTTCCACCATGCCGAGCAAGCAGAGCAGAGAAGCAGAGGTAGGAGAGAGAGAAAAAAGTTATCTTCGGTTCATATGCAAAGCAACAGGGCAAAACAAAAATAAAACCTCAAATGCAGGATGGAATGATACGTAAATTGATAAAAGTTAATGGAATCGCTTATGAAGCCATATCCGGACCCACACATCATCCACACTGTGCAAACTAAAAAGATGAAGTGTCTTCCACTTGGTGATCTCTGGCAAGGTTTATGCGAGCGAGATAAGTAACGAAAACATTCCACTTCAATATTATTTCGTCGAAATGAAAAATAAATATGAATTTGAATATCAATTATTGAGCCGGAGGAGAAATTAGCAAAATGTGTTGGAAGGCAAAAAAAAAACCAAAAAGTCTCCGACATTTTTGTAGCCTCCAAATAAGTTTGAGCCCAGATAAATCGTTTAATAAATATTAATATGTGTGTGTAAATATTAGGTACAGAAGTTTTAATTCACTGTGAAATTCTTATTAAGAAGAGCATGAATTTATTAATTTTAATTTCAAGGTCAATTCAGGAAAGGTGATATACAAGTGCAAAGGTTGGGTTCTGTATCATCGTGTACCGCTTTTGGTTTATTATTGCAAATCCGGAATAAGGGTAAAATATATATGGAAGCTATACTTCAACCTGGATTAAGTTGAAGCCGTATCAACAGAATACCTTTGATGAATCACTAACATGAAATCAGACAGAAGTCTCAATTTTAGTAAATTATATATTTTTAACAAACTATCAACAGCAACCATTCATTTTTTTTCATAATTTTTGATAATATGGAATATATTCTGGATGTTCTCTGCACAATTGGGTTTAAAGAGTTCTAAATTAAGTACATTTTATTCGTCATCTTATAACAATTATTTTGGATTTCTAAAAACATTTTCCAATGACGAATTTAAAAGTTCGCACCACCTTAACACATTATTTAGTAATTTTGTATCTATAGTAAAAAAAATAATAATAATAATTTTAGGAATATAGTGCTTTAATTGAAATCAAAGTACGTATGTTTTTATCTTTATATCCTCTGTCATGTTCAAGATACTTTTTGTACACTTATGGTGTACGTTTTCGAAACGAAATCTTTACTTCGACCCTTAATATTAAAAGCCATCCCACACCGAATTTCAGATTATATATAAAAGGTAACTGTACTTTTTTGTTGATTTCTATAAAAATCAAATAACCATATATCCAATAACCCAGAAATTCTACAATGCCAAATGTTGGAATTTCTAATTCAATCGACCCATTGAAACGTTCATAGCTTTATAATGGGAGTTTGTAAAAATTACGTCCCATTTCGATCGTCGACATAAAGAGTGACACTCAAAGTTCTACGGTCTACCGATCGCATAATAACAGTGTGGTAGCATTTAGTACTTCTAGAACCCGTAAAGTAATATTTTAAAATAAAATCACGCCTTTTAACAATCCTTCATATCATCTGTGTATACTCTACCAAATAATGTTTCCCTTACAATAAAGATCTATCCATTTCCATTTAAGAACGTATACATTTGGTACAAAAAAATACATTTTAGAAATCTAGATTGTGAGAATAGTAAAGTAATTTGTTACTACCCAAAATTCAGGAATTACAAATTATATTTCGAAAGTTATGCTAACATCCCCAGTCAAATTTACATTTCAAATTTCAGAATTATTGCTCCAACAGCACAGTAGCAGTACCATTTGGTATTAACTACTGAAAATTCCACCTATATGCCATCTTTTGCAGGAATCATATTTGATAAGTTACAGAATTTTTACTCCAGGACACATTTTAGGACATTTCAGTATTTAGCTCTAATAAATACTAAAAACGTTTCACTGCAGTTAAATTTAACAATTTAGTTCTTCTCAATCAGTCCTAAAGTATGAAATACGTGTGCTCTTTAGTACATCTTTAGTACAAATTAAACAAAAGAAAACTTATTTAATTTTTATCTAACTTTTAATATTTGGAATTTTAACTCAGAAGCCCAATTTCTAGTACTTTTAATACGAAAAATATGAATAGGGCGTTGATGTTATCAAGATTACATAATTGTTAACCTATGCTTGGCTGATTCACTGATTGAATCGGCTGAAACTAGAATCTTGAAACTATGATGGGGAAACCTTGGGACGCACGTGAGAAATAAGACTTTTTTTTTGAAAATTTGTACTAAAGCTTCGTACTGGGAGCTGCTAAAGCTCTGATTTTTTATAGTTTTCTCAAATCAAATATACCTGTACTAAAAGTGTACGAAAAGTTCTGAAAAGTATTAAATATATTACAAATTGTGTAGAACGATCGGAAAGATCAACATGTCTGAGTTTGACTTTGTGTGTCTGTGATAATCAGGAACTTGTTAGGATACAAGTGTACAAAAATTAGTAAAATATACTAAATAGTACGAAGCGGCCACGAAAAGCAAAATGCCTGAAATATTCTAAATAGATTTGGCTATGTTAAAAAAAATAATAGAAAATATTTTGGAAATACGTTTCAAAAGGACACAAAAAGTTTGAAGAGGTACAAAAGAGGCACAAAAAGCTGCATTTCTGAGTTTTTGTGTATGCGTTTGTCCATGGTAAACAAAAGTTGAACGAAAGCGATATTGGCATTTCGAATTCAACGGCTACGAAAAGTACAAAAGCGTACTTAATATTGTACGCTAAATTAAATAAATGTTGAAAATTAAAATAAGGATCGTAAGCGATGTCATTTCATAAATGGTATACCGAATAAGATTGTTAAAATTCGCACAGAAATAGTACAAAACGGAAAAAGGGTACTAAATACTGTGCTATTCGTATAGGCTCACTACAAAGAATAAGAACTCTTGATTTTTTCATATAGTTTTCGCTGCAATGGACAAAATCGTATACGACAAATATTTTCGTACTCAAAGGTACTAAATTTTGTACCATCGGCCTTGAGCTACAGGGAGGAGCTGAAACTCTGTTCTTTGATGTACAGAAAGGGGGTTTTAAACTTAGTCCTAAAAGGTTACAAAAAGTAGTAAACAATTATTAAATATTAAACATATGTTATGTTTTTTCGGGAAGAGCCAGAGCTCTGATATCAAAATATCGATTATTAAAAAATTAGATTAAGAAACAGTGGTCTTAGAGCTGTTTCATAACTCTGAAGTTAGAATCGCGGAGAAATCTGTCGGTTTCCACCAAAAAAACTCGTTTCACATTGTAGTTGTTGAAGTTGCGTGAGTGTGTGAGACCTGTGTTGGAATGGAAAAGACTAGTTAGAGTATTAACGTCTTTATATCCATTCAGGCGATTAAAAGGGACTGAAGACTTACAAAAATCACAAAATTTGAAAAGTTTTTATTTTTAATAAAAAAGCCCAAACGCTACCAAAATAACCAATATTGTGTAGCCTTTTCGACTTTTCAATACTTTGATACCGACCTCCGACAAACTCACTCGAATTTGTACAAAAACACTCGAATTCGAGCGAGTGCAGAACAAATGGAGCAAACTCAATTTTTCGATGTCATTTGAATATGAGTGAGCATATTTTCCTTTTTTTAGGAGCAAAAGAGGTTTTTGTTTAGGAGCAAAGTTCGTTCGAAATTCAGAAGATTCTACTCTTGCCGAGTACTCTGGTTTTTGTCATACCATTGTTGTATTTCTATGTATGCGTATTTTTCTGTACATGAATACCCCAAGATGATTTGTAATAATTATCGCCGTATATATGAGTTGTAATAAAGTATAAAAGTTCGCGTTCGACAGCGACTTACAAATATTAATAAACATTTGAGTTCGATTAATCGCGAAACTTGCCCCATTTATATATTTTTCTACAAATTACAATGTTCATTTCAATACTTACACCAAACAGTAGCGGCCAGAATCACAATGGCAACAACAATTAAGCCAATATTTGACAATAATTTAACCATGAAGGCCGATGACGTATTGAATGGCTTACTGGAGCACTTCTGCAGCGTTGTTGAGCCAAGGACGGGAATCTGTAATGAAGTGAATAAAAAAAAGAATAAGAGAATAAATGAGTATTTACTGGAAATGATAATGACGCTGCAATCAGATAAGACCATGGCACGAGGCACGAGGCAGGACAACAAAAGATTCGATGGTTCAATAAAAATTAATTCTCTTCGACAGCTGCCCTGAGTAGCGGAGTCACCATCGACCAACGAAAAACAAATTTCATTTTTTATGAATTATGACTGGCGAATAAAGAAAAATTCGACCAATAATCGAAATGGCCGCCGTACAAAAGTGTATTATGGCGAAGGACACATGGACTTAACTTATCCTTTGACCGTGTATACATCTATGTCATCGATTAAATAAACTTCCGCTTGGTATTGTCCTTTAATTTCTGTTTTCGTTTTGTTTGTTTGCTTCGTTTTGTTGGTGTTGGAGATGGTGTTGCTATTGTTGTTGTCTTACTTTATATTACAACACAAATTGCATGCTTCCGTTTCCGCCACACAAAAAAAGGAGCACACAAACGAAACAAGGGCAGAAAGCAGAGAGAACAAGGCAGTGTGAGATGGGAAGAAACCAAATAAACATTGGCAATAACAAAGAAATTTACACAGCGCTGCACAAATGCCAATGCACAATGCAATAACGAACCGGGCGAACAACAAATGAATACAATGCAACGCAACGCAACGCTAGGTCAGCCAACTAGACCAACCGACCAACACTAGCTCATGTTAAGGGCTCCGTGAACAGATCAGCTGGCACTTCTTTTTTTTTTTTTGGCGGGGAATCAGTCCTTTAACAATAAGTGGCATGGTGAACTGGAAATCACGCACGAACTTGCAGTTCAAACAAAACAAATACCCACAATAATCAATGAACGGCACATTTATCTTTACACAAGATATTATCCGGCAAGTATGGGTATGAGGGTCGATTATCAAATTTGTCTACGACGGATGGTGGAAGTGAATAGGAAAGATATAAAACACTACAAAGGTTTTTTTTGAAAATTCGAAAATTTGGTACGAAAACCAATGTAGGAAAGTAAGTTTGATTTATGAAGGTGGTTTACGAAATGTGTACTAAGCGTGCGAACAATTTGGTTTAGGGTGAACGGATGAAGCTTTTTATCTATTGGTGTCCATGTCGATGGTAGGATTTTGTGCCCTCACCATAGTATGGAAGGGTACATTAACTTTGTGATTCCGTTTGTAACACCTCGAAATATACATTTTAGACGCCACAAAGTCAGCGTACAATTCTATGTCGATTTAAGATGGTCCGTCCGTCTATCCGCCTATCCGTCTGTGAAATCACTCTAGCTTCCGAATGAAATGAAGTATCTTGTTAAAATGTTACTCAAATATATGTCCGCAGGACTTTTGGTATATATGGTACCTTCCTATTTTCGGTATTTTGATGATTTTAGCGACATTATTCACCGGAATTGTTTAAAATTTGGCATTTGAAGTTCGTAATAGATACTACAGCCCATGGCAGAAAAATGTCTGTGCAGGTCCACGGTTTGGTATTGCCCCATATAATGGTACCTCCCTATATTCGTTATTTTGATGATTTTAACTACATTGTTCACCGATATTTTTTCGTATTTGAATATTGCAATGGCTTATGACAAAAGTTGTCTATGCAGGTCCACGTCGTCGTATAGACCCAAATATAACGGCTACATTCGGTATTTATAAGATTATAACAGCATTTTTAACGATAAATTCGTTCCAAATGGTGTTGGACCCGGCCGAACAGTTTATTCTGGTATCGGACATCGCTTACATCGTGCGATTTAACACCTTTAGACAATTTTGGTGGGGCTATATTACAGTTCATGTCTATACAAACAGACCCGCTTCAACTGACGCATTAGAAGGCAAAATTGAATATTTTGTTCGAGAGATACCGGCCGATCACCCATTAAAACAAATACTAATTTCTATAAACAATATTTGTTGAATATTTTGACTTGTTAAAATTGCGACGAAAGGGAGTTTCCAATCATATTTTCAAAATGGACCAAAACGACTTATTTGTTGACTCTCCTGAGGCTTAGAATTTTCGACCAAAATAATTCTCGTGTTTTTACCTACGATATAAGAAATATTAGCTCGAAGATTAGAAAAAAATTTGGAAGTGTTGCATAGTGTAATTGTCCATTGAGGTCCACGTTTTTACATAACCCCTATTAATAGAACAGCAAATTCGTAATACATTACAAGTTAGGACAGACCATTTTTTATTTCTTTTTTTCGCAATCATTTTAGTTTCGAAATGGGTTCATGTTTGGGTATGGCACCCCCAAGACGACTCCGCTCGATTTTAGCAACTTTGAAGGGTTTGATCCTGTTTTCCAACGAATTTGTTCACAAATTCAAATATCAGTCGGTGTTCCTAAATACATATACCTCAGCATTTAACTGAAAATTTTATGTTTTCAGGGAGATTCGCTCCTGACTTAGTGTTACATAACCAGTTAGAACGATTCATTGGGTGGCCCTCAGCATTTGACCATTTATGTTACCCTTTCTAGTGGAACGAAATAATATATTGGACCAAAATGTCCCAAATTTTCAGTAGATCTAGTGTTAGTAAAAATATGGCAATGTGTGAAGTTGGAAAAAAAGTGGTGCATAAATTCGATTTTTTTTAAAGTTGTCATTATTACTTTTTTGATCTTCACTTATTATTATAATTATTTGTTATATGCAAAATCTAACTAATCTCACCGCGGAACAAGTTTTAACTAGAAATTTTTTAAAGTTTTGTGGCAGACCGTTATGTTCCATTATCATTGGACCTATATTTTCAATTTTCGCGCTAGCTCCACTATAGCCGAAAATATTGGAATGTGAACGAGTTATAATTTGTCAAATTTTTACCACTTTTTTACGGGAGGTTCATGAATTAGTGAACCAATATTGTCCATTCCTCGGATCTATTATTTTTATGAAGCACATTTTGGTCACAGTGGGGGCATAAATTGGTTTACGTGTATGTAAGGGCGGGCACTCATCAAGCAGTTCTATCCATTTATAGGTATTTCAAGGAGGCATTTAGGTATTTTTATGAGAATAGATTCATTTCAATCTACAATTACAAAAGTGTTGGTCCATGTGAAGTTACCAACCCGGTTATTTTGCCACAAACGTATTGGCATACGGACATATCCAACTATTTCCTTTCCCCTTTTTTTTGGTTCAGATTAAAGAAATATTGTTAATTTGCTTAACAGCAAAAGCAATCTAGTGTATGGGCCACAAAATATGTTGGAATTTTTTAAATCGTGATTTCATTTTTTTCGATTTTCACATTTTTCGCCACAAAAAAACGAGTGATGCATTTAACACAAAGTAATTAAAATACTTATGAAACCAATACAAACAGTTTCAGATTTTTATAAAGACCAGCTTTCAATCCAATTTCCAAAACTTGAATTCATAAATAACAATTTTCCCTCTCCACATCACTTTTTGCACGCACATGCACATAACATATGCATGTGTAACGTGCTTGTATGTGTACGAGTGTATACAACTAGTTTTTCTATAAAGAAATGCATCACATATGTATGTATTAAGATTTACCAGGGTGGCATTGCCTCTTTGTGGCGTTGCAGAGCTCTTTTTTTTTGGCCAACAGAGGCAGCAACTGAGATTACAAGGACAATAGTCAGCACATCAAGCAGCCAATATAGAACAGTAAAACTGGCTGACCGACTGATGGCCAAACCACACACAGCCATACATATGTTGCATTCACTAACCAACCAACGGACCAGTAACAACAACAAAAGCCATCATCTTTGTTCAATTCGTATCTCTTCACTGTACGCAGCAAGTGGTTAACTTTATTAATCGAAATTTTTGTTTGTTTTTTTTTTTTTTGTATTTTGTGTTTTTCTTTTTTCTTCTTTCTCCTGTCTGTACTGATGACGAGGAGCAAAAAGAAACCAAATTACACAATATTGATGAGATGAGATTTGCAATCTGGACAGGGCTAGGGTTAACACAACGCAATGGGGAGAAAGGCGGATGAAATGCGAATAAAAATGATATTGTAAGTTGTGGCAGCTTTCGCCAATAGTCAATCGTAGCCACTGACTGCAGTGGCAACTAACTACGTATTGGTTAGTTGGTTTGGCCGGTTGGCTGGTTGCTCTGCTCTGCTCTGCGCCCTGTGTTTTGCCAATTTTTTGTTTTCGTTTGTGGTGCTGGTGGTGTTGCAAGCGTAATGCTTGTCCGTCGGTCGGTCAGTCGATCAATTGGTGGGGCATGCGACGGCAGGCAAGAGCCGTTGCAGCCAGCAAACTGTTGTTCAGGGACATATTTCGAATCACCGAAAATCCTTTGATTGTCTTTCCATAATAAGTTCCCTTTTGTTTGAGAGCACTACAATTCCCGTCTGGCTCTGCTGCCGCTGCAGCTACCGCTCCGCCCACTATCAGTCATGGCTCAGTGACCGACGAAGAAGTCTTTGCAATTACATTTCATTCCATTTCACTTCACAGATTTGGAAAATGGTCAGCAATTGCAAAGGGAAACGAATCATGTCTTTCGTCTGTGCATTTGTGTATGTGTGTGGTATGTATGTATGGATGTATGACTGTGTCTGTGACAAATTTGTTGTCATATTTCCTTGCACACACAAAAGAGGAATAAGGAGATGCAACATGAAGAGAAGAGCTAGCCAGCCAGGCATTTCGGTGATGGACAGCAGCAACTGGACAAACAGCTGCAGCAGCTGCACAGAAGTGATTTGTCTTGGTCTTTGTGTGTGTCATCCATGCCCCAATTATATTTAAATTGAATCTTTTTACATTGTAATTGCAATATTTAGCAATAAATATCGTCGTAGTCTTCGTCGGAAGTGAAACTATAA